ATTTTTTAGTTGAGTTGAATGACATTGAAACCAAATCGATAAGGCTAACCCTTCAAAAGTTAGAGAAATTTGATTATTATTAAAAAAAATTCTAATATTTGATTATACCTATTTACTTATCTGAATTTTCAATCTAGTCAACCTCAGCTCTTACGATAAATCTAATAAGACTGATACGAAGCTGCCAGAAATAACAGCTCAATCGTTATTAACGTTTGCTATTGATAAAAGTACACACCTACCCACACCTCTGGCATATTTATATTGACAGGCAAAATATTCAGTCATAAGAACTATAAAAATGTTCCCCAATGTTTGAATTACTTATGTTTAGTTCACTAATGTTTAAATACGTTAGCTACCAATTTAATTTAAGAGAAAAGCATAGTTTTGTAATTAAAGATGAAAATAACATTTCATATTACATTATTAGCATACCATAATATAATTTTAAGTACGTAGTAACTACTGCTGCGGTATACTAGTAATTAAGTTTATATTAGTCAGTTAACAATAAGCTAATATATATTTTCTTTTACTGTCAATTATTTTTCAAACTTTAAAATCTAAAGTATTGATTTTAAATCAATGAAATAAGTCCATTGTCAGAATAAAAAGAATAATCTTTGCTTAGTTTTAGGAAAAAAAATGGAATTTTTATTTTACTTACATTTGTTTATATTTAACTTATTCATCAATTATTTAACTTACACATAAATCTTTTATTTTTGAAACAATAACCTTCTTACCAGTACTCAACTGATGCAGAATTTTGTGCTTTGCATTTTATGTGATTTCGATGTGAAATGAGAAACTTTCTGTCAATTTCGGAAAAAAATGACTGAAATTATTCTGGCCAAAGCTAAGTTGAGAGTGAAAAGCTTTTGATCCAATCATTAAGAGTTTTTTTTTCTAATTGCGGATACTGAACTTTTACGTTCTTCGCCTAGGACGATGCCAGAAGTATTACTCATTTAACGTTACCCAATGGGCACCTGTGAACCTTGGTCACGGAGGCGAGTCTCATTACCCACGCCACACTGCCACAGATATCCGTTTATAGAGTTGGTCATATTCCCTCATTACACAATTTTTTTTCCATAACCGTCGTTGAACAGACGACCCAATTTTATGGGTTTACGACTACTAATGTTCAACTCCGTAGCCTTGTAATTTTGAACCCAATCCAGAAGACAGGGGAACTCCTGGATCGAGTATTGGGAGAAGTTTGGCATCGTGGAGGACTTTTCGATGGAGCTAGCCCGCAATCGCGTTACATGGAGAGGAAAATCACGTTAACCTCCCACGGTGAGCCTGAGGACAAGGGGACTCTAACCCATGATACGCCTACCACTGAGGATATTTCACGTTAGCACTGTGGTCGGTGCAAGCCGGATGCGGAATTCGTATCGACTGGGATTCGAACCCGGTTCGCCTCATTGGAAGGCGAACGCTCTATCCCCTGAGCCATTGTGGCTCACATATAGCACAACAGAGAACAACAAACAGAGAGAAATGTCTATGTCCAGAGTGGGATTCGAACCCTCAGCCAATGACTTCGCAGTCAGGCTCGCTAACCGCTCAATCATCTGGCCGACATCAATCTATATACATAATAACAAACGCGGCAGTGTGTGTGTCTGTAATCACAATATATCGCCCCAGAAGCCTCGCCCAGGCACGAAACTCGGCACATAATTGTGTTTTGACATAATGAAGAAGTATTTTTTTTCTTTTTCAAAAATTTGGATTAGTTTTTTAGTTATCAGTCATTTTGTAAGAAAATCTATGCTTTTTCGTCTTCAAAGAGCCATATTCAAAAAACTATTAAAAAATGCATATCTCTTATACTCCTGAACACAGTTGTAAAGCG